ACATATGTGTATGTATACACTTTTTTTTTTTTGCCTCCCACATGAACTACTGGAAAGCCATTACAATTTGAAAGGTTAAATATGAGTGTTATTTTAACTGCATATTTCTAAACCCTCAATCCTAAAAACAATCTCACTGGCTCTATATTGAATTACATGTAAAAAAAAAAAAACATTTTTTAAACAAAAAAAACAACTGCACAATATTCTGTAAGACAACCTAAATCTTCTAGACCCATAAAATCTTTATTCACAATAACAACTAACACAAATTGGCCACATTGATGTCAGTTCATATTTACTTGACTGATGTAAACACTCAGGTACATTACCTGATACCTATCAGCAGTAAATGATGAGAAACAGTATGTTGATCTAAATCTTCCCCATCTGTAGTACCTTTTATGACTCAGTGCTTGACTGTTCAGCATTAACTTTGACTTATTTCTTGAAGGAACTGTGAGCTGAAGAGACATTTCCCATTTGTCTCAAGTAGCAGTCTGAATGCCTGGCACTTCAAAACAAGTGCATTTTTCTATGTGTCTGTGTGTTTATCAGGACGCATGCAGATGAATACACTGCATTACAGGATACAGGAAGTCGAAGATGTTTAATGATAGGGACAGACCAAACCTGTAGAGATGAGTGTTTTAGAGGTAAAATTCAGCTTATTTTCTCACGACAGTGTTTTTGACCAAAGTGAGAAACATCAAACATCATCAAAGATTCGGCTTCGAGAAGAAGACATTGAGAGGTACCTTCCACCGGCATGTCTGTGGGGGAAGGAAACAAAAGAGTGAGTGCATGCAGTGCAGGGAAAAAAAAACCTCATGACAATAGAGTGATGCGGGGAAGATGATTTTTGAAACGAGTTAGCAATTTAGCACTTCTGGTTTCATCATCCTGAAGCACTGGGTTTTTTGTTAAATGCCTGTAATAATTCTGTGGTTAACACAAGTTCAAGAATTTTTTTAATTGTATTATATGTGACCCTGGACCACAAAACCAGTCATAATGGTCAATTTTTTTAAATTGAGATTTATACATCATCTGAAATGATTTGTTACAGCTGAATACATAAGCTTTCCATTGATGTATGGTTTGTTAGGATAGGACAATATTTGGCCGAGATGCAACTATTTGAATATCTGGAATCTGAGGATGCAAAAAATCTAAATATTGAGAAAAGCACCTTTTAAAGTTGTCCAAATTAAGTTCTTAGCAATGCATGTTACTAATCAAAAAGTTAAGTTTTGATATATTTACGGTAGGAAATTTGGAAAATATCTTCACGGAACATGATCTTTACTTAATATCCTAATGATTTTTGGCATAAAAGAAAAATCGATAATTTTGACCCATTCAATGTATTGTTGGCTATTGCTACAAATATACCTGTGCTACTTATGACTGGTTTTGTGGTCCAGGGTCACATATGACATAAAAAATCAATAATACATAATTATATTATCATGATGAACAAAACGTGTAAGAATCATAAGCTTTTGATGGTCACATAACTTATTTTCTGCAATAATCCAAAAGCCAATTTGTTGAGGGAACCAGGGTGATGCTAACATTCCTGATGGCCTACAAAAATAATTCATTGCTGCAGCACTCAAAAAACATAAACTAACCTGCCAGGTTCAGATTGCAAAGGGTCATCATTGAGTGTTGCAGCATTAAAGTCCAACGGCTCCGCGTCCTGCAACAACTCAATGCTGTCTCGTCCTGTCTGGCTGCTGCTACGGGTGTACTTGGCCTCTGTGTATAAAAATGAAGGGATAAATATGACTGCTTCTTTGCAAAATTCACTTAATAACAAATACTCTATAGGAAAACTACAGGACACATGTCGTATTGGGCATTAAACATACGCCGGTTTGTGTTTGAATTTAGGGTTTCGCCATAGTTGGTTTCCTTCATCTCAGACATGGACATCTGGTTTCTGGCAGCAATCTCATCTCTTTGTGCAGAACGCTCTCTCCATTCCTGTCATATACGTATAATCATATAACTGTAATATGTATCATTGGAGTAATTATATGTATATATTACTCTGTACTATTTATAACTCACTCTTCGTCTGTTCTCCCCATCTTCTATTCTTTGGCGTTTTCTTCTTTCTATGCAAAAAACAACAACAAAATAAGTCAGATACACGTCCTCGTTTAATACCGGATGGGACCGTGTTAAATGTTAATGTCAGTGTCAGCGGTAACTACCCCACTGACGTATTGAGGTTTTCACCACTGCAGAAAGCAGAGCTGTAGCAATGAGCAAAAGTGATTTCTGTCTGAATCAATATTTATTTCTAGAACACATCTAACCATAGCAACCACAGGAGACAGCTTCACCTTATTTTTATACTACCGGTCAAACGGATAAGCTTGACATTCATTTTTTTCATGGTCTTACAATAGTTTTTGAAATTAGTCCTTTAGATAAGTATAAATTGGGCCTGTGATTAAATTTTTTTACTAAACAAAGAATAACATTTAGTTATATGATACTCTTATATTCTAGTTAATGTATTTAATGTAATAGTATATATATATATATATATATATTTATTTAGTGCTGTCAAACGATTAATCGCATTCAAAATAAGTTTGTTTACATAATGTGTGTATATAGTGTATATTAATGATGTATATATAAATACTAATGCATGCATGTATATATGTTTATATATTAAATATACTTATAAGAATATAAACATACATTTATATTTTCAAAATACATGCATGTGTTTGTATTTATATATACATAATAAATATACATAGTACACATACACATACATATATATATATATATATATATATAGTTTTTTAAATCTACAAATATAAACAACTCACCTCTGCGTAGGAGTTCTCTGCCTTCATCTATGAGGTCAGAGGTCAGTTCGTTTTCTCCCATGAACTGCTGGA